TTTTTTTTTTTTTTTTTGGTACCAGGAAATGAACTCCGGACCTTGCACTTGTGAGGCAGGTGGCAGAAACACTGAGCTAAATCCCTGGCCCATCATCTTTATTTTAATTTGAGTTGTTTAGTTCGTTTGCTTTTGTTTGGTTTGGTCTTTTGAGACAGGGTCTCCCTATATAGTTGAGACTGACCTGGAACTCACTATGTAGCCCAGGCTGGTCTCGAACTCTCAGCGATCCTCCTGCCTCAGCCTCCCAAGGGCTGGGATTACCAGCATGCAGCTTTTTGTTTGTTGTTTTCAGACAGGGTCTTGCTGTGTAGTCCAGACTGATCTTGAACTCACTATGTAGCCCAGGCTGGCCTTGAACTCCCAGCAATCCTCCTGCCTCAGCCTCCTCCTGCCTCAGCCTCCCAAGTCCTGGGATCACAGGTGTGTGCCACCATGCCTGGCTTATCATCTTTATTTTGCTGAAGAAGAAATCATCAGAGTTAGGAGGCTGAGCTGGCATTCGGACCCAACCTTATGCAAGAGTTTTTTAAACTGTACCATGCTGCTCTGGGGATGAGGACAGGAGAGGGTCACAGCTAAGGCTGGGGTGGGGGGCGTTGTCTTCCACTCAGGACCCTTGAGATCCATGAAGGCAGGCCTGGAAGGGACTCTTTCCACCCTGTCACAGGGATCTGGAGGTGGGTAGTGGCTGGTGAACCCTGGGCCAGGCCTGCCTCTTACTCTCTAAGCCGAAACAAGGACAGTCCTGGTGTGGGCACTGTGGCCCGAGGCTGGCGGAGGGGAGGCGCTCACCAACACCCAGCTGTATGAGCAGCCTATGCCACCCCTGTGTGGATGGTCCTGTCAGGGCAGGAGACATGCTGAGAGGCAGGACCAGCCCATCCCTGGGACTCCTGCTCTGACTTGTGAGGGTGCAGGGGGGAAAGGAGGCAGGCTGAGGATTTCAGCACATCGGACCCACTGTCTTAACTCTTTCCTGTCTGGGTTCATCGGCAGCACAAGGAAGCTGAATTGAGCTACTGCTTCTTTCCTGCCTCCTGTGGGCCTCTAGACACAGTGCTTTGAGGACACAGCCCATGGTCTGCCCAGCTACACCTCACTTCTCTGCCAGAGCCGTTAAAGCAGGCAGCACTGAGATTCATGTTCAGCCTACAGCAAGGTTAAGGCGCAGGGTGCGTGTGTGGCACAGTCAGACCCTGGGGCTGCTGAATCCTCCTGACTAGCCTCGTCCGGTCCATGCATTTGTCACTGGCCTTCCTTCTCTCCCCAGACCCCAGCCTCCCTCCCTGGGGAAGAGGAGACTCCACTGCTGCTCCCCAGAACCCACCTGAAGACCTTGCTGTGCAGGCACAAGTGCCAGACTTTTCCTGAACCAGCAGCCGTAGCCCCAGGCGAGGCCACCCCTCCCAGGACCCTGGAGGACAAGCCCTTGCTGCTGGAGCTGCAGAAGCTGCCAGGATTGGCTAACACAGACTTGAGCGCCCCAAACCCCAACATCCAGGTGAGACTTTACAGAGGAGAGGGGCTGGGGCTCAGCCCTGTGCTGTGAACCTTCTGCGGCGGAGTTGGGGGTGATGCTTCTGTGGGGAGGGAGCGCGTGCCCCTCCACTTTCTAGATGCCAGCCTTGAGGAAGTCTCAGCTCTCTGAGCCTTGTAAGGGACAAACAGCACCAACCAGGCAGGGCTGGAAGGAGGAATGAATGAAGGGGAATTGCATACTTCGTCATCTGTGAGCTCAGGAAATGCAGGAGAGAGGCCCCCGAGAAAGGCTGAAGGTCTGGTCCCCACCCAGTCGCATTCCCTAACTGCAGGGCCCTGAAGAAGGGGTTCAGTACAGAAAGAGGTGGGCTGACACCGTGGGGGCTCCCCTCAGGAGCGTGGAGGGCTGGCAGAATTCCAGCCACATACCCACGGGCCTGTCCTGAAACTCTGAGGGTGCTGTTCACGCAGTAGCTGCAGTCTGTAAAATATAAGAAGGGAGAGAGGGACAGAGAGCCACCAAAGTGGAGAGCATAACATTCTAAAATTGGTTTAAGCCAGGCACGGTGGTCCATGCCTACCAGCACTCTAGAAAGCCGATTCGGGAAGATGGCAAATTCAAGCCCAGTTTGGGTAACTCAGTGACGTGGCAAGACCCTGTTTCAAAATAAAACAAAAAAGGGCTGGGTATGTAGCTCAGTGTGAAGGCTTTGGGCTGGATCTCTAGCACTACTCCCAAAATAATTGTTATAAAGTGCATCTAAAAAAAATAAAGCCACCCCCCTTCTGTGTGTGTGTGTGTGTGTGTGTGTGTGTGTGTGTGTAACTTATATATGCCCAATTACCTATAAACATACAAAAAAACTAGGTTGTCAGTAATGGAATATAGATGATTTTCTTTTTCTTTTTTTGATATTTGTGCTGAGTAGTAAGAGGGAAAGTGAGTTTTTCCTCTAACACCCACACGTACATTTATTACACAGCTGCCATTGCACACTGATAAAGGGGAACTTTGCAACAGCTTTTCTTTTTGAGACAGGGTCTCACTGTGTAGCCCAGGCTGGCCTTGAGCTTACTATGGAGCCCAGGCTGGTCTCAGACTTGGGATGATCCTCTTCCCTCAGCCTCGAGGACTGGAATTACAAGTGTGCACTACCACCTGCAGTTTACAACACGCTGCCACAGATGTTTACCTATCTGGAAGATTAAATTTGCTTGCTCTCTATATAAGTTAAATTCAGATGGATTAAATATATGTGAATGCAAGCATATAAGTGGTCTCTAGGAAAATACTCATTTTCTTCTTAATGTTTTGCTGCTTTTCACCTAATTTTGGTCAGCGTCCTGTTACTTGACAGTAGACAAAACTAGTGTTTTTAAAATTAAATGATTTTATTTTATTTATTCCCCCTGCTTAATGTAGGTAGGAAGCTCCTCCCAAGAGCTGCTTGGAGATGTGATATTTGCTCTCTTTTCTCAGCCCTGTCCTAAAGAAATGGAAGAAATGTGTGTGAAAGAACCAGAATTCAAAGCCAGCTTCCCTTAACCTAGGGGCTCTCAACTGTGGCCCAAGCTGAAGCTGCCATGCCTGTCCTCACCCCAGACTAGTTCCATCCGCACCTCGGGCTGGGAGACAGGAATCTCCGCGTGCCCCACGCACCCTGAGAGGCCGAGGTCTGGACAGATGACAGCTGGCTGGAGGCATGGTTGGGCCCTGGCTCCTGCCCCAGCCCTGTCACCTGCCCTCTCCTTGGAGTCCTGCTCTGAGGCCTCCCTGCCTGGCGTCTGTCTCCCTGCAGGTGACCATCGAGGTGGTGGAGGACCCCCAGGCCAAGGTGGAGATGGACCTGCTGGCCGAGCCCAGCAATCGCTGGCCTCCAGGCGCTCCTAGGTGGCTGTTCACTAAAGAGCTCTTCTGGCCCCTCTTCTGGAGCTACCTGGAGGGTGAAGAAGGGGCCACTTTCCTCAAGGGAGGAGCCCCAGGGGAAGGGGAAAGGGGGGAAGAGGGAGAGGAACAGCACCTTGCAAAGCACAGGGAGCCCGAGGACCAGGAGGACCAGCAGGACGAGCAGGAGGAGCTGTGGTCCAGCGGGGCCTCCGATGGCTGGGACCAGGACTGGCTCGGCCATGGGGACTGGGACTTCAAGGAGCCAGACAGCTATGGTGAGCACCCCAGCCTGGCACTCCTGGTGCTGCCCTGCATCCTAAGTGGCAGTGGTGGTGGCCTTAGGGCCGAGGGTTTCTCTGCAAGGGAGTTGGGGAGGGCAGGAGCCTACAGACACTATCATCAGCTCCAAAGTGACATCACCGGCAGCCTGCAAAACTGGGGTTTTTGTTTTCCCGACAACATTTGACTCTCACAAGATTTCCTAAGTAAAAGACATTTGTTAATATTATATATATTTATATGCATTGGTTTCCAGCAAATTGAGAAATATTAATCTTACTGCTCACAGCTGATCTTATTTTCAAACTGTGGATTTTGGTCCTGACTCTGTCACTTACCAGCTGAGTGACCTTGGACAAATTACTTAACGTCTCTGTTCCTTTCTCCATAAAAATGGGGATGGCACAGCCTTCACTACAGAGGCTGGGTGGGAAGAGTACTAAATGAGTTACTATACATAAAATGCCAGCATGTGGCAAACAAAGCATTGTTTTTTGTTTGTTTGTTTTTTGGTTTTTTTGAGACAGGGTCTCGCTGTATAGTTGAGACTGACTTGGAACTCACTATGTAGCCCAGGCTGGTCTTGAACTCAGCGATCCTCCTGCCTCAGCCTCCCGAGTGCTGGGATTACAGTCGTGCGCCACCCCCGGCTATTAGCACTGTTTGTTTTTAATTTTAATTTTCTTCAGAAAAAGACATAACAGCACAGATTATTCAGAAAATATCCCCCAAGGCCTGTGGGACTCCCACAATGGCGATTTTTGCTTTACTGCGACAGGTCTGGCTTGCTGTGGGCACAGTTGTAGCCATTTTCTCCCAACCCTGGACTCTTGTCATTGGACTGAGGTACCTGTACTTAAGACCAAGTTGTGAGAAGTTCTTCCTACATTTCCAAAATGCTGTAATCTGAAAGAATTTTCATGACCTTCAGCTTTTCTCCCATTCATTTTCCTCAAGCCCAGTGCCAGTCTGCTGTGGCCTGCCTGGAAGCTGGGAGAGAGCCAGGACACCAGCACTGTGGGGCCTACAGACAGCCCTAGGTTTCAGGTCCTGCTCCATCGGAGGGCCCAGGCACAGTGTATTTGAGTCTCCTCACATCAGAACTAGGTACCTAACATGGGCAGCAGGGACAGGTGGCAGGGACAGTCTTTGATGACCCCGGTGCCATGGAAGTATTGTCGACCTAGGGTTTTTTCCCTCCAGTACCAGGAATCGAATTCAGGACCATGTGGTTGGCAGGCAGGTGAGGTGTCACCCTAGGTTTTTTTTTTTTTTGTACTGGGGATAGAACTCTGGACCTTGCTCTTATGAGGCAGGAGGCACTAGTGAGCTAAATCCCTGGCCCAACCCTAGGTTTTGATTGACACAAAAACTACAGCTTGGGCTGGGGATGTAGCTCATTGGCACCGCACCTCCCTTGCAAGTGCAAGGTCCTGAGTTTGATCCCCAGTACCAAAAAACAAAACAAAACAAAAACAAAAGAACTACAGCTCAAGCCAGGTGCAATGGTGCACAACTATAATCCCAGCTATGTATTTGGGAGGCTGAGGCAGAAGGATCACAAATTCTAAGCCAACCTCAGCAACTTAGTGAGACCCTGTCTTAAAAATGCAAAAAAAAAAAGGCTGGGGATTTTAGCTCCGTGGTTCTGCCAACTGCCTCGCAAGCATAAGGTCCCAAGTTCGATCCCTGGTATTAAAAAAAAAAAGTAAAAAGGGCTGGGGATGTAGTTCAGCGGTGCCAGCATCTGCCTGGTAAGCAAGCACAAGGTCCTGAGCTTGATCCCCAGCCCCAGAAGAAATAAAATGTAAAAAGGGTTGGCGATGTAGCTCAGTGGTAGAATGCCCCTGGGTTTCCTCCCCAGGAGGGCAAGACAAAGAAGCTGCGGGAGTTCAGAGATATAGGGGGTCTTGCTTGAGGTCGCACTGATAGAGGTCAAGTAGCTTCCAGCCGAAATATCTTTTCTTATTCATGGCTGTATTGGTCCAGAATAAGTGGCTGGTGTTTGTGCTGTCTCTGGAGGGCGACTTGATACAGTTACACAAGTTGTTCACTGCACAAGGGTACCCAACTGAAGGAGCAGGTGGGGGTGGAAATCCTGCCCATGCATTTTACACTAGGCTGAGAGCCCTAGCAACCTGGGCTGCAGCCAGATGGGGAAGGGGCACTTTTTACTGATTTGCACTGGTGTGCCCTGTGGGCTATATGTACTCACACCGGGCTTCCTGCCTTGACCCAGACTATGAGCCTCAGGAGGAGTGGAGCCCCTAGTCTCCATGCAGTGGGAGCTGCAGCAGCGGCAGCCAGCAGAGGACTCGGCCCTGTGGCTATGCCTGCACTGCCACTGAGTCCCGTGTCTGCAGTCTGCCCCCTTGTCCTGGTGAGATGAGCCCCAGCCCTTGCCTCAGAGTGGTTGATATGGTTTAGACTCTGGATTTTAGCCCCTGGGTATGAGACCCTCACAGGATGTGTGCTCTGAGGAAAGGGATGCAGGAAGCTCACAAATACGGTGGTCCTGTCCCAGGCCTATTCCAGCCACTATGGGACCCAGAGCGCAGTGAGGGCTGGGCTTCCCCACTGGGAGCACGAGGTGCCCTGGGGTGCCACAGCCAGCCCTCCTCTCTTCCCAAAGGCGCTGAGGACGAGGACACCTTGGGTTTCCCCAGCGAAGGGTGGCAGCCCCTGGCCCACAGTGCTACGGACACGCTCGGTCCAGGTCAGTGGGGCAGGGGAGAGCCCGGCGGGGAGAGAACCCCTGTCGGGTGGGTGGGGTTGCTCGGCAGGAGTCAGGCCTCCATCCACCTGGCATTTCTGAGCCCGACCTACTGGCATTTTCCAGCCCATGCTCCTCCAGAAAAGGCTGCCACAGAGGCAATCACAGAGCTTGGAAGCTCTCAGGGGTGTTTGTGAGCCCTGGCAGCAGGACAGGGAAGGGACATTCTGACTTCTGGTCACTTTTTGGAGGCTTCTGGTGGAGGGGGTCAGGTGTCAAACTCCAGGACTGCTCCTTCGGCTCCTTCTAGGTAGTCGGTAGTCTGTATCTGGGTCTCACTGCCATGTTTTCCCAGTGCGCGAGACAGCGGGAGGGCAGCATAGACAGAGGGAGCCCCCAGGAGCCACGGATGGTGGCAGGGGAAGCCAAGGTCAGAAGACAGGCTCACACCTCTAATCCCAGCTACTCAAAGGCTGAGGGAGGGGGATTGAAAGTTGGAGGCCAGCCTGGGCCACTTAGCAAGACCTTGTCTAAAAACAGAAACAAGAAAACATAAAACAGAACCAAGCATGGATTACTGGTTAATATATTTAAAAACACTGTCTGGGCTGGGGATTTAGCTCAGCAGTTCCGCCACCTGCCTTGTAAGCGCAAGGACCCTAGTTCGATCCCCGGTACCAAAAAATAAATAAATAAAATAAAATAAAAATAAAAACACTGTCTTAACTGTTGGTGCTATCCCTGACCCCACCTACCCCAGCCTCTTCCCCAAATCCCAGCATCTCTCCCACTGTCCAGCACCTGTTCAGCAGAGGGTCCCTAGACTACTGCTCATTTTCAGTATCCATTTTCGGTGACAGCATTTGCTTCCGGTGCCTGGCAGGTGTGGGGTGTCCTCAGCTCTAGTTTGAGTACTTCCAGTCCTGACCTTAAGTCCGGAGCCACGCCTCTGCCTCCTCTCCCCATTGCTGACCCAGTTGTCCCCATGCCACAGGAGGCTGGCACTCTGACTGGCTGCCCTCCCCGACCTCCTTGCCTTCTGCAGATGTGGACAGCTGTGAGAAGTGGCTGAAGTGCGAGAGTGACTTCCTAGCCAGGTACCTGAGCCAGGTCCTGCGGGACCTGCCCAGCTGCCCCTGTGCCTACCCGCTGGAGGCCACGTCCAGGGCTGTGAGCCTGCAGGACGAGCACCAGCGCCGCAGCTTCCGGTGGAGGGACGCCAGCGGCCCGCAGGAGCGCC